TATATCGAAATTAGTCGCCGTAACTGAAAGGCTACTGATGCAGTCTAAGGCGCGACTTTTCAGACACGATGTCAGAAAGTGTATGCGAGCAAAATTGTTTAAATCATTATTCTGAATAATTAATGACGAAAAGCGATCGCGAAATGCTTCCCACTCCTCGATGTTACCGTCGAACGGCGGCAGACAAATTGGCGGAAGTTGTGAAAGCGATATAGCGGGAACGTGCGACCGATTGTGAGCGCTATGTAGAGATTCGTTAGACGGACTTACAGGTGGCTCGAGTTCCTCCAGTACCTCTGACATGTAGTCCAATGCGGCATGGTAATTCTTCTCGGTTTTGTCGAGGCGCTGCTCGGCGAAGTAGTCGACGACCTGCTGCGTGGCAGACGGCGTGGCTTGCAGCAGAGATGAATGTCCATCCAGGAACTGTTGCCAGAGATCCTTGAGGGCGGATATGCGAGAGCTGATATTCGCCGGTGTGAAGTTAGATCGGCCGATTTTCTTGACGTTGTCCAGGTAGCGATCTATCGATCGTTGGAGTTGCAACTGTCGCGGCAGAAGCTGTCAGCCATTATGCCCGACACGAAATATTACCCGATGTGGTTGACTCACGCGCACCGATCCGTCTCGAAGGACCAAAAATTTTGTATCAGAAAGTCCGCGTGATTTAGCGAAAGTTCTGTTGATCGATACGACCTCGCACGAGGCCCGGTGGCGTGAGGATAGGGCGATCCAGTGATGTGACAACAGATTGACTCAGTCTCGAGATAGTTAATAACAAAAACTTTATTCGGTTGCCCAGGATCGTCTGAGCTTGTCGATGGTTACAATTCGCGATCTTTACCGCGGACGCCGGAAATCTGCAACGCGGTGATCTCTTGCCGTCCCCGAGCGCGCGATAGAGCACACTTCGTTAAGAGGAGAGTTGCACGAATCGCGGCTTCCGACGCGATGGTCGCGACTTGAGGTTACCGGGAGCGGTGCACTTGGACACAGTGCATTTGGACAGAGCCAATCACAGCACCGTGTGATTAGAGACATTTGTAGAGTCCCTTGGAACAGCGACTTGTGATTGGACTGTGTCCAATTGCCCCGTGTCCAACTGATATACACCCGAGGTTACCGATACCGTTGAGAGTCGCCCGAGCGAATTCTTATACTAAGAGAGATGACTCGGGCACCACTATGCAAACTGCGGAACGTCGATCGAAAAGCAACAAGATGCAGAAGAAAAGAAGCTAGTAGCCGTTGTGAACGATGTCTAATATACCCTCTCGGTTGTGCTCTGTCGCGCGCGGATTGGCGGTGTTGTCAACACATTCCAAACTTTCATGAATCCTCCTGCGATAATTTCGATCCCAAACGGTATACCCGTTGGTCACCATCCACGTCCTGACCGCATTAAACTGTTGCTTAACCTGACGATCGGCGCGCACGCGGCGACTCTGATGACTCCAACGATGTTCTTACGATTCATGCTTATATAATGTATCCTTATAGTGTTCACAGTATATTATAACATACCTAGCAAACACCAAATAATAGTTACATAATTTTTACTTGTTGTTTATTGGATAATTTGTTGATAGATATTGAAATAATACAACATTCAATATGCGATGAATATTGATGTAATGTAGTGAACCAGTGATAATTACTTTTACATTTTTAACAAAATGTTATAATGATTAATCCAACAAAAAAAATTAAAAAATCCAAGAAAACCCAAATTAAACAAATCGAATTACTAAATTTTGAGAGAAACGTTTAAAAAATATTATTTAATACAATAGTGTTGTTTCATCAAATGACGTGGTTTCCTTGAACGAAATAAAAGTTTTATTTTCATCATTTTAAAAAATGATATTTCGTTTAAGAATATATTTTAATGAAATAAAAAAAACCACAAAATTAAACAAGTACGAATATTAAATCTAAAGAAAGTATTTTCTCCGAAAAAACGGTATAAGAAGTATAAAAAATATGCAATAAGACAAATTAATGATTGCCACTAACGAGTGCTATTCTAAGTACTATTCTATAAGTATTATTGATGTAAAACATTACTGAATTTGAAATACAAGTAACAAAAATAACTAGTAAATAAATAAAATATATTGTATTTGTAATATTTTTTTAAATATTACTGCAATATTGCTAAAGTAATATTGCAAATTAATGTCACTGCAAAGTCTCTGCAACATTGCACTGCAATATGCAATCTTGCAACGTTGTAGCAATGTTGCTGCAAGCTTCTGTGCTGTATGGGCATTGCTGAGATTCGATACCTGAGACCTCTCCCAGGTAGTAGACACGTCAAAATAATATCCAAATCTAAGTAAGTTCGGGATAAAAAATAACCAAGGAATGATCAAAAATATCGTGAGAATATCGTCAAAATGATAGTCTAATGTCATAGATCGATGACGACATTTTAGACGACTTAATGACGTTTTATGACGTCTCTAAACGTCAATAATACGTTTTTGAGACGTAATACAGAAACGTCATTAAGATGTCACAAAAAAGACGTCGTTATTTAGTCACTTGATATTATTCGACCAGTTATGACCAGTTTTTTACGTCATTTTGACGTGAGTTTGTTACTTGGGCTGATTCTTGTGTCGTTCACCTTACCTACTGCGTCACTGTCACTTTGATTGAGAGACGCTTTATATTGTGTACATATGGTATATCCATATACAAAGGCATATGATTTATTTAAAAAAAGAGAATTCTTTTAAAATATATGTTTTAAAAAAAGAGGATTCTTTTAAAATATATGTTTTAAAAAGTACGTAGAAAGTATATTTTTAAGTATATATTTAAAAAATATTTACATGTTTTAAAAGTAAGTAAATTATTTTGTAAATTTAAATAAATTTTTTTCTGATAATAAAAGAAACTTTAATTTGAAACATAAAAAATACTTTTAATATTAGAAAGTAATTTATTCAGATTTACTTGTAGAATGATTTACTTTCAGAATGATTTACTTGTATTTTATTTACTTTTAAAACAAGCAAATATTTATAAAAACAGTTTTTACATTTAAAAACAGAGAGAAAAAATTATGAAAATCTATATTCAAAATATTATTAAAATATAGAAATATCTAAATATCTAAATATTTTCCATAATATTTGTTGTAAACAATTAATATTTAAATTAATATTTAAATTAATATGTAAATTAATATTTTGAAATATTTCTATAAATATTTCACATGAAAAAAATAAATATAATTATTTATAATTATTAAATTAATAAAGATATAAGAAAATCGAAATTTAAATTGGTAATGTACATAAGAAAAAAATTCTTTAAATGAAAGAAATATATTTTGTTACATATAATTTGTTAACTTAAAAAAATATTT